GAGCCACGTGACGCGTGAGAACCACGTGACAGCCCCGTGACGCGTGAGGGCCACGTGACGCGTGAGAACCACGTGACAGCCCCGTGACGCGTGAGGGCCACGTGATGCGTGAAAGCCACGTGACAGCCCCGTGACGCGTGGGACGCTCACGACCTCGCCTGCTGTACGGGAGGTCGATCCATTTAGAATCAACATCGCGCGTTCAGCTGAGGGGGGTGTGGGGGAGGAGGCCACTTTCGCCGATAAGACATCGTCAGTGGTGTGAGTGAAGTTTGAAACCATTGAGGGTTTGTGACGGCATCACGATGACGATGATGGGCGGTATTCTCACTACACATGAAGCTGCTACACGCGTCCACAGTGGCCGTGTCGGAGTCGCTCAGTCCACAGCGATGCCATTCCTGGCTTGTCTATCTGTTTGTCTGTGTAAGGTTGCGGTGTGTAAACATCGCTAGCACTGGGGAGACAAAGGCGGCCGGGCGTGGTGCCGGCCACCCAACCCCCTCGTGCGCCGTGCCGGCCTTCGACCGCGCCGCGAAGCGAACGACCCCAGTTCGACAACGAGCGCTGGCTGACGACGCGCTGCGTTGCCCCCCCCCCCCCCGGTGCTGTGGGTGTCGTGCAGGTGAGGGGGGCCTGCGAGTGCGTTGGGGGGGGCCTCGCGGTGACGGCGGCCGAGCGGTTCGTGCGGCTGCACAAGGCGACGGTGGCGACGGCGGCGGTGGTGGCGGGGGGGGCGACTCCGCACGGCCCCCCACACCGACAACTCGTCAAGGTGGAGGAGGGGACACGGGGCGCCTCATCCTCATCCTCCTGCTACGCGGACGGTACGGGCTGGGCGGGGACTGCCGTGGTGCTGGTGGCGGTGGTGGTAGTGATGGTGGTGGTAGTGATGGTGGTGGTAGTGGTGGTGGTAGTGACGGTGGTGGTGGTAGTGACAGTGGTGGTGGTAGTGATGGTGGTGGTGGTGATGATGATGGTGGTAGTGGTCGTGACGGTGATGGTAGTGGTGGTGGTTGTGATGGTGGTAGTGGTGGTAGTGACGGTGGTGGTGGTAGTGATGGTGGTGGTGGTAGTGATGGTGGTAGTGTGAAGTCTATGGGTAGTGTTGAGTCTATGGGTAGTGTTGAGTCTATGGGCGTTGTTGAGTCTATGGGCAGTGTTGAGTCTATGGGTAGTGTTGAGTCTATGGTGCAGTGTTTAGTCTATGGTGCAGTGTTGAGTTTATGGGCAGTGTTGAGTCTATGGGCAGTGTTGAGTTTATGGGCAGTGTTGAATCTATGGGCAGTGTTGAGTCTATGATGCAGTGTTGAGTCTATGGGCAGTGTTGAGTTTATGGGTAGTGTTGAGTCTATGGGCAGTGTTGAATCTATGGGCAGTGTTGAGTTTATGGGCAGTGTTGAGTCTATGGGCAGGGTACGGGTAGCCGGGTACCGGATATCCGGTTGCGACCTCTGCCCATGCCTCTCTCCACCACGTGCTCTGCAGTCTACACCTGGGAAGGCCGCCTCAGGACCCCGGGGCTGCCCTCGGCGCTGCCTGAATACGAGGAGCCCCCCCAGCAGGCCCCCGCCTCCTCTTCCTCCTGTCGCCTGGAGCAGCCGCCGTCTCTCCTCCCGTCCTCCCCGCACGTCCGCTCGCTCTGCTCGACGCCCGAAATCCGGCGAGGTCGTGACCCCCGTAGACCCCTCGCTGTCTCGCTGGACGCCCGCTACGCCCAGAAGGACCCCGGTTCTGCGCGCGGGGACAGGCACCGAGCGGGACGCCTATGTGGGGGCGCGTCCGGGGTCCTTGAGACGCCCGGTCACGTGGTGAGCGTCACATCCGGAGGTTTGAAAACCTCGTGCTTTGAGAAGTTTAATAAATTACACTATGAGACATCTCCTTTACCAGTGGCAACATGTAGCAATAGGTTTCTACCCTTTCAACTGGTACAAAAACTGACACCTTTATACGAGAGATCATGTTTGCAATAACCACAACACAAGCAGTCAAAATGCAAAAAAAAAGAAACAACTCTGACTGCTTGTGTTGTGCCGTCCTCAGGTGAAGAACAAGGCTGTCGGAAAGACAGACCTGTTCTTTACCTGAGCACGGCTGCTTGCGTTGTGACCAAAACGTCGTGAGAATTGTATTGATTGTTTTATTTTTATTATTTTATTATTTCCCTTCTACGTGACTTTACCGAAAGAACCAAGAAGATGAATCCCTGCAGTCACGAAACCTTTAAATCGAAAAATAAAAACGTTTCTATTTGCTGTTTGAACATCTTAACACCTGTTTTATTGCCAGAAAGGGTACAACCCATTCTTGTTTTTAGTTGATACTGGCAAAAAGATCCCATTTTGCCAAATAATGTGTTGTACATTCAAGAGCCGTCGACCAATTGGCATCTGTTTTCGGGGGAGGTCAGCAAGTGATTTGTACAGATATCCGTCACTGCTATTGTGTTGAACCTTATCGCAGAATACTGCACTGCTTTGATAAGGGACCTGGCGCTGACTGAGAAATGTGTCCGGGGTTTGATCACCCATCCACCCACTCACCCCAAGACAAAGACCCGCGCATAGCCTTAACAGACTGTTGGGGCAAGTTTCGTTCGCGAGTAGCACCGATGGTTGGCGAGCGAGCACCACGTGCAGACACCCACCAACTCGCTCAGATGATCATTCACCCGTTGATTCACTCACCCACTCGCCCGCCCACCCACAAGGCTTGCCCACCTGTCCGAAAACTGCCATCACCAGGAGTTGATTCGTTGTAACCGAGATCTGGCCCCCAGTGTCGTTGCGCTAAACACCACCACACCGTGCCTCTGTGAAAAAGACTTTCGCAGCTCTTCGGATTCCTCCGGTCTAAACAAAGAGTCGCTTGAGTGGCTGACCCTCGGAGGGACGGAGAGAGCGTGAGATAAAGACGCTACCCCCACCACCCCCGGTGTGCGCGTGTCCCCTGCAGGCGTCCCAGGCCAGGGAGCCGTCCGCCGAGCCACCCCAGGGCACCTTCGTGGTGTCCCTGGAGGAAATCCACGAGGCGCGGCGACGCATGCACCTCCGTCGCCTCCTCTGCTCCTCCTACGAGCCGGCCGCTGCGTGTGAACTCCGCAATGGGCTCGTGGCCACGGGAATCTTGCGCGAGCCGGGATTGGAGGAGTACGAGGGGGAGAAGGAGGAGGGCGACGAGGTGGAGGAAGAGGAGCGGGAGGAGGTGTCGAAGTGGCAGCAGCGATGCCAGCAGCAGCAGCAGCGGATGGGCGATGAGGACGAAGTGGACTGTGTGTTTTTTGAAAACGGCCACGCGGTTTGCGGTGCTGGCACCGTGGCTGCACCGCGCAGGCCGCGGCCTTTGCCGGGACAGCGGCATCGGAAGCTGCGGACCGGACTTTGGGAGCGGCGGAGCGGAGGGTGCGGCGATCTGTTCCGGAAATCCGGCACTGGAAATCGGCGGTGATGACAACGGCGGCGCCCGCTTAGCAGGAAGAAGAAGAGGAGGAGGAGGAGGTGGCGACGAGAATGGGTCGGAGTTGGAGGTGGAAGAAGAGGTGGCGTGGATCTTGAGCCGACCGATCGGCGCCGGTGACGGCGGCATTGGCCGGGAGAGCGCGTTCAAGAGGAGCGGCGGCGGCGGCGGCTGCTACTTTGAGGGCGGCGCCGGTGCGGGCGCCGGGTGCCGCGCTTGCGCCGGGCACGCGGCTCCGCTCTACGGCTCGCCCGGAAAGGTCCACCTCAACGGGTGCGCCAGCGGCGGCGGCGGCTCCGTCGTAGAGGCGGACCTGGCGGTGCTCCGTGGCGACGCCGGCTCGCCGGGCCGCGCCGCCGTGGAGCGGAGGGAACGCAAGGGCCTCCTTTGCCGTCTGCAGCGTAAAACCGTAAGTGCCGCCCCCCCCCGCCCGTCGTTTGCGCCCCCCCTCATCACACGCCGGCGTGACGATGAGCTTCGGAATTCTTGCCCTGAGAGGTGCGTGTGTGTGTATGGGGAGCGGTGGTGCAGCGGTTAGCGTGCTGCGCTACTAATCCCGGCCACCCGAGTTCGATTCCCACTCAAGGCCACTGACATGGGCCTCCCCTAGGTCGACTCGAACGGTGGCTATTGTACTTGTGCAGCTGTCTGGCACACTCTTCCTTCCAATATTAGGAGGCCACTGGAGTTGTGCACTTTAAAATCGTCTAGATTGACGAACTAATTTCATTAGAACTGCTTTTGGTGTTTAGTTTGTTGTCCTTCCCCCGGCACCTCCAATTAGTACGGTTGGCTACGTACGGTACATGCGTGAGGTACGTGTGTGTGTGTGCATCTGCGTGTGCATGCCTGAACTGTGCAGAGGACGAGCAGCTTCAACGGATTCGATCTTCCGAGCAGGCAGGGAGCCTTGGGCCTAGACGAGAAGCCTTCCCTGCCGGTCAAGCACGTGAGTCGAGCGGTGCTGACGGCTGCCAAACTTCTCACGGTAGCGGCGTTTGCCTGATGAAGCTGGTTGTAATCACTGGCAAAACGTCGTACTCAGATTGTAAATGTCGTGGCTTGGCTCTCCAACACACAACCGGTGTTGCTGTACTAGTGACGAATTGGCCACGTTCTGTTTACGTGACAACCCTTACTAGTTGGCTGTGTCGGGTGGTGGTGGGTTTTAGCAACACATTTATATATTTACGCGATCTAACCCAAGAGCCTCTATTATGGATGATATTGGTGGCAAAAGCCTACATGTTAAACTGGATGGGCTGTAATGACCATCGTGGTGTCACGGGTCAACTCAGTGGGTCTCGCCCGAAATCACCTGAACTGGCCGCTTCTAAATAAAAACGTTCTCAAGTGTTTGATACCACCCAAGACGTTCACTGCCTCGCCTGATATACAGGAGGTCGTGGGTTCGATCCCGACCCTGACGCCTGCTGCTGTATATTTGGAGTTAGCATGTCTCTCTCTCTCCCAGTGGTGAGATGTTAACCACCTCGCCTGGTGTACAGGAGGTCGTGGGTTCGATGCCAACCCTGACGCCTGCTGCTGTATATTTGGAATTTGCATGTCTCTCTCTCTCTCAGTGGTGACATGTTAACCACCTCACCTGGTGTACAGGAGGTCGTGGGTTCGATCCCGACCCTGACGCCTGCTGCTGTATATTTGGAGTTTGCGTGTCTCTCTCTCTCCCAGTGGTGACATGTTAACCACCTCACCTGGTGTACAGGAGGTCGTGGGTTCGATCCCGACCCTGACGCCTGCTGCTGTATATTTGGAGTTTGCGTGTCTCTCTCTCTCTCCCCGTGGTCGCGTGGATTTTTCTCAGGGTCCTCCGGTTTTTCCCTCCACGTTTAGAACCAACATCGCGCGTTTAGAATATTTAAGCTGCGATACATTTCCACGTGATGATGAAAAAGAGCTACGCAGCTCAAGTGGGAATTATCTGGTAAAATAAACATAATTTAATAGTTTATAGTATTCCATCCCGTTTCCTCATTCATAAATGTCAGCACTGCGGTTCTCCATGTGTGGCGTTACATTCAATGTGTGTTCTGAAACCGTTTGCTAAACCGCGGCAATTCCTCGGCAAGCGAGCAGCGGCGGCACCGCAGTCAGCGCTACGAACCCCGGCGACCAGAGTTCGATTCCCGCTCACGGCCACCAACACCGGTGACGGTTATCCGAACCGGATCCGGGGCCTCCCCTAGGTCGACTCGGCCTCAAATGAGTACCTGGTTGCGGCGTGTAAAATCATCGCCACCGGGGAGGGAAAAGCGGCCGGGCGTGGTGCTGGCCACCCACCCCCGTCGTGTGCCACAGCGCCGGCCCGCGTCAGCGTCCCAACAGTCTGTTAAGGCCACACGGTGGGTGCGGGGTGGTTGGATCTTTGTCTTCGGTGAAGGAGGAGGACGCGGATCCGTGCGGGGAGTCGCCCTATCGGCGAGCTTCGGCGCCGGACAGCTTCCTGGGCAAGAAGGTCAAGTCGGTGCGGGACACGGTGAAGAAGACCATGACCAAGCTGGCAAAGGCGAACTGTGAAGAGGTGTGGAGACTGTCACCGTCGTTTTCATTATCGTTGTCATCATCATCATTATTGGGGCAAGCAACATCTCACGGCGAGATGTTAACTACCTCGCCTGGTATACAGGAGGCCTTGGGTTCGATCCCGACCCTGACGCCTTCTTTATATTTGGAGTTTGCATGTCTTTCTCTCTCTCCCCGTGGTGGGATGTTAACTACCTCGCCTGGTATACAAGAGGTGGTGGGTTTGATCCCGACCCTGACACCTGCTGTTTTTTGGAGTTTGCGTGTTCTCTCATTACTATACTGTAGTCATTGTACATTCAGTAGAATAAATATTATAATCATCTCATGGGTAGCAGTGGTGCAGTGGTTTAGCGCACTGCGCTATGAACCCAGGGAATTGAGTTGGATTCCTGACCACGGCTACGATCGGTGGTCTGTCCTGGCAAGCTCAATATTTTCGGTAGATTTATAACCTAAGCACCATCACCAAAAATGCAAAGACAAGGATCCCCCGTACAGCCTTAACAAACTGTTGGGCCAAGTGCTCTTAGCGAGTAGCGCCTATGAAGGCCGGCACAGCACACAAGGGGATGGGTGGCCAGCACCACGCCCGGCCGCCTTTGTATCCCCAGTGGCGATGTTTACATACCGCACCAGGTACTCATTTGAGTCGACTTAGGGGAGGCCCAGGATCCGGTTCAGACAATCATCATCGGTGTTGGCCATGAGCGGGAATTGAACTTGAGTTGCCGGGTTCGTAGCGCAGCGTAGCGCTAACCGCTACACCGCCGCTCGCCTCACCACTATCACCGTCACCGCTACCGCCTACCGCCGCCACTCAACTGCCCTGCCTCTTTCACCCCCACAGCGTGAATCCGACTTCGACGTTGCCCTCCGCTGCACGCGTCTCTCTCTGGAAGAGGAGCAGCTGGTGGAGGAGAAGCAGCCGGGCAACAGCCAAAACAACGGCCACCACCACCACCAGCAGCAGCAGCAGCAGTGGCAGCTGGCCGAGTTGGGGGGGGAGGCGCATGAGGAAGCGGGAGAGCGTCAAGAGAACTTTGCTTCCTGCCTGAACGGCGCCCGCCTGCGCGAATTCCACCGCTGCGCCGCCCGCGCCCCACCAAGCTCCTCCTGTCGCCGGGCGCCGGAGGTCGGCGTCGCCGGGGGATCGTGCGGGACCGGCGAGCGTCTCGCCGCCACCGGCGTCTCCCGCTCGCCGGGGGGCATCGCCGCCGTGCCGGCCGTGGCGCCATTGTCGCCGCGAGACCAGCGGAAAGCCGGCGCGCACGCCACGGAGGTGCGCGCCATCGTCCACCGGGAGAACCACGCCACCGGTGAGGACGATCGCCCGCCCGCTCATTCGCTACGTCGCTCGCTACGTCGCTCGCTCCTGGAGGGTTCGCGCAGGTTTTCCGAGGTGGTGCACGTAGTTGGCGGTGTAGGCGGTGGGCGCCGGCGCCACGGTTGGCCGAAACGTACGGCGCGAAAGAAGTTCAACACACGCATACGCACGCGCACACGCACACACGTACACATGCACGCGCACGCACACACGCACACACGCACACACGTACACATGCACGCGCACGCACACACGCACACACGCACGCGCACGTACGCTCACACACACCCGCACACGCACACACACACACGCACACACGCACACACGCACACACGCACACACGCACGTACGCTCTCGCGCGCGGGGCGGCTAATGCCGCCGCGCTTCTCTCTCCCCGCGTCCACGCAGAGCCGCCGCCCGCTCCGGGCTTGGCGGCGGACACCGGCGCCGGTGCGGAGTTGGCGTCGGGGCCTGCGGCTGACGGCGACCGATCGGCGGTGGCGGCGGCGGCCGTCGGAGACGCGGTGAGGGCGACGGTGGCACGGGTCGTCCCGGGGACGGCAGGGCGTGCGTGGGGTGTTGGGACGAGGCCGGGTGGGGGTCATCCCGTCGGGGCGTCTTCAGGAGAAGCGGACGCTGGGTTCGGTTTCGAACTTTCTGGGTCTCATTGGCAGACTCCTTGCCCCAATCTAGCTCGCAAACTCGAATAATAAACTGATAAACAAAACGTACCGCACACGTGTACTGATACGTGGAGACTAAATTTTAACGTATATATATAAAAAATAGGTTTTATGGTATTTTCAATAATGTTATGATGTATTTGCCGCCAGGAAAGCAAAGGTTCCTCACGTCGCAAAAAAACGAAACCCAAGACGGTGTTTGAACTGCTGGAGAGGATTCACCTGCAGGTGACCGTCCGGCTCACAATGACGACGAAAACGACGGCGATGACGACAGCGATGACGACGGCGATTACCATGGCGATGACGACGGCGATGACGATGGCGATAACGACGGCGATGACAACGGCGACAGCGATGACGAAGACGATGACGGTGACGATGACGATGATGACAGCAGCGGGGTCGTGTTCGGGGCGTGCTGTTCGCTTCGAGCCGGGAGATGCTTCCAATAATTCAATTATGTTCCAGGATTTTAATTTTTCTGCTTGTGTGAGCGAGCCATTGGCCGCGTGAGTCGTGGCTGTGTGGGTGAACGTGTGAATGAGTGAATGGCTGGCTGGGTAGGTGGGTGAATGAGTGGGTGAGTGAGTAAATGAGCCGCTCATTGATCGAGCGAGTCAGTGAATGGCTCTGTGACGGAGCGAGCGACTGACTGTGTGCGTCATCGCCCCCTCTCCCCTCCCGGCGCACTGCAGGACTACGCGGGGCTGCTGACGCGTAGCGGCTACGAGGACTTGGAGACGCTGGGCCTGCTGGACGCCGAGGACCTGGACGAGATGGGAGTCCTCGACCACGAACACCGCGCCAAGCTGCTCACCGCCGCCGCCCTCCTGCGAGCCGACGACCGCGGTACGGGCGGCCCGCCACCTACGCCGTGGGGCCACTCAGACTCGCTCCTCCGCCGTAGGGCTCTTGGGCTTACACCTCTGCCGTGGGGTTCCTGAGACTCGCTCCTCCGCCGTGGGGCCACTCAGACTCGTACAACAAGAGAGTCAGATGACTCTCGTAAAAGTTGATCCGATAAGCACGCGCCCACGCACGCACACACACCCACGCACGCACACACACCCACGCACGCACACGTCGAAATTCATCCACACCCATCGCGCTAACCGCAGGGCCGGTGCGTCTTTCGCCAGAGAACCACGGCCGGCAGAGGAACGCGTCGTTCGACCAAGACGCCGCCCACCACGGCACGTCGGCCTTCTGCGGCGACGCGGCAGGATTGGCGGCGGCGGTCCGGCACCGCTCGCCGGGCCGCTCCGCCGAAGACCCGCGGCGCCGTGCGGCCGTCCGGTGCTTCTCGGCCGGCTCGCGCCGAGCGCCGGCCCCGGCCGCCGCGTGGGGCTGCGTCGGCGTGGAGACCCGGGGCCCGGCGAGGCGGTCCTGGTCGCTGGACGACGTGCGGAAGATCGAGCACCTCCTGGAGTTCGGCAGGTGGCAGCGGAGGCTCGCGCACCGCGGCGACTCGGGGCGCTGGTGGAGTCCCGGCCACCACCACCACCGCCACCACCGCCACCACCGCCACCGCCGTCGTCGTGACGAGCAGCAGGACCTCGGGGCGTGCGGGGAGGACGTCGCTGCTCGCCAGACCACGGCGGCCGCGGCCGCTATTGAGCCGGCCGATGCGGTGATGTCGGCCGCGGAGGCGCCCGGAGCAGCCTCCTCGGACGGGCCGGGAGCAAAGGCGGTGGAGGCGGTGGGGGCGGTGGGGGTGGTCGATCCAGCCGGTGGTGACCCCAACGGGGAGGCCGTCGCGGAGCCGCCGGCGGCAGGCGCCGCAGTCTCGTGATGCCGACGACGCCGCGGCCGACGAGGAGGAGAAGGCCGCCGGGCACTGCCGGTCAATGACGATGGCGGAGGTGGTGGAGGTGGTGGAGGTGGTGGACCTCGCCGAGTGTGCCGACCGGCGCGGCGACGCCGACGGGCCCGCGACTCCGCGCGGCCCCCCCGGGGCGGACTTGGAGAGGGCGGCGGGGGGCAGCACGGAGAGCGTCGGCGGAGTCGGAGGGAGAAACCACCACGACCACCGCCACCACCGCCACCACCGCCGCGCACGACCCAACAGTTCCCACGGCGCCGAGCGGCGGGACGGCGATGGCGGCGGCTGGGCGACCGACGGCCTGGCGGCGATGCTGCTGCAGAGGGAGCCGGAGGGGGAGGGGGCGGAGCGGTGCGCCGAGAAGGTGAACGCTCGCAGACCCCCGCGCCGGGAAGGGACACCCCGGGTTCGACTGCCGCCCCAAGGCGGGGGGCCGTCGTCTTGCGCTTTGCCTACCGACGATGAAAATCGTTGCAAAGCGTGACGGCGGCTGGGGTGATGAAGAGCGGGGTCGTTGTGAAAAGTGGTGTTGGTGGTGTAGTTTTGGCGGTGACAGGTGGGAGCGGTTAAGGAGATGTTGGGGTAGTGATAGGGGTTGTGGTAGTATCAGGGGTAGTGATACACAACATCACAATCACAACATTCACAACATCACAACATTCACAACATCACAACATTCACAACAACAACCAACAAGTGAAGTCGTTTCAGCAACGTGCCAGCTGCGATCGTTTCGGCTCGACGGTTCTGTCGCGCGCCCGGTCCTAGCAAAGGCCTGCAAATCGATACTCATCAGAATAACGTTTGTAAACAAAAATATAACAACACCAATAATCATAATGAGTTGTACGCCTTTTGGCGTCATCTGGTCCAACACCAATGGAGACTAGGCTCTAAGGAAAGCTGTCTCGGGTGTGGACCAATCAACTTCAAGGACAGTGCATATCATTATCATCATCAGAGTTGTTTCCTTTTGTTTGCATTTTGACTGCTTGTGTTGTGGTTATTGCAAACATGATGCCTTGTATAAAGGTGTCAGTTTTGTACCAGTTTAAAGGGTAAAAACCTACTACTAAATCATAATAATTGTCTGCGGTTTTTGCAAAACCTGAACCGGAGCGGTGATCGTCGGGGCTTGTGTCCGAGCGAGCGACCGAGGCGAGCCGGTGCCAATGTGTTCCAGCGTGGATGCGGATCCGTGCCGGCCTCGCTCGTGCTCCGCTTCTCGCAAGAGCTCGGGGCGCAGTCCCGGGCAGTGGCGGCCAGCCTGGACGACCTGCACCTAGGCTGGCACAAGCGGCTGGCGCACGCGCAGGTGAGGCCGGGCCCTGCGGGCGTGAGTGTTTGTCTTTTTTTGTGCGAGTGTGTGACTGCACACACACGTACACGGGGAGTGGTAGTGAAGCGGTTAGCGCGCTGCGCTATAAACCCGGCGACCCGGGTTCGATTCCCGCTCACAGCCAACACCAGTGACGATTATCTAAACCGGTCCTGGGCCTCCCCTAGGTCGACTCAGCCTTAAATGAGTACCTGGTGCGGTGTGTAAACATCGCCACTGGGGAGACAAAGGCGGTCGGGCGTGGTGCTGGCCACCCACCCCCTCGTGTGCTGTGCCGGCCTTCATAGGTGCTCGCTAACAGCACATGCCCCTACAGTCTGTGAAGGCTACACAGGGGATCTTTGTCTTTGTTTTTGCAATGGGGAGCGGTGGTGTAGCAATTATTATGCTGCGCTACGAACCCCACTTTGAGCCGAGTTCGATTGTCTCTCACGGCCAACACCAGTGGCGATTGTCTGAACCGGTCCTGGGCCTCCCCTAGGGCGACTCGGCCTCAAATGAGTACCTGCGGTGTGTAAACATCGCCACTCGGGAGACAAAGGCGGTCAGGCGTGGTGCTGGCCACCCACCCCCTCGTGTGCCGTGCCGGCCTTCACAGGTGCTCGCTAACAGCATTTGCCCCTACAGTCTGTTAAGGCTACACGGAGCGTCTTTGTCTTGCGATGGAGAGCTAGATTGCAGCAATTTGGCACAGTAGGGGGCACAGGTGGTGCATCTGCCAGTCAACTCAGTCGGTCAACTCGTGGCACCTAGGTCAACTCAGCCATAAATGGGTCCCTGGTGCGGTGTGTCTAAACATCACATGCGCACTTCACATTCGGGCGATAGCGCGTGTGGTGCTGGGGCAATTCCTGGCGTTTCGCTCCAAAGCACGTGGTGCGAAACGTCAGACATCGTGCCGGGACCACCCGGTTACATGCGCAACGCGGCGACGTTTTTAACCGCTGTTCCCATCACCTCCGTTTGACAGATCCTCCGTTCCGACCAATCGGAGGGCTCGACGCAGGCGGGCGCCGCCGCGGGCCTCAGTAAGCCCGCCTCCGATTGGCTCGCGGGCCTGGGCAGCTCCGTGTACATCAACGGGCTGAGCGACGACATCGTGGATCAGCTGACCCTGGGAGAAGTGAAGGATTCTGGGAGGGACGAGCGCCCCCTGCTGCCCACGGTCAAAGGGCCTTTCGAGAGGCACTCCGGCGCAAGCGCCGTTCATCCCAGGAGGTGACGAGGATTCGCGGGAAACCGATCAACGCTCGAAGGCTTCGGTGTTGCTGAATTGGCGTTTCACGTTTGGGCCGAAAGTTCAAACTAAAAGTCAACGAAACATTTTTTTTTTATCTCACCAGGTAAGGCTCCACTCAGCTCTGTAGCTCTTCTTCAGAAGCGATCGTGGCCGTCCACAAATGAGAGCTCAACGAAGCGGCCTATCACGTGCACATTTATCGCGGGCAAATGCTCTAAACACGCACGTCGATTGTAAAGTGTGGAGGGAAAAACCGGAGGACCCGGAGAAAAATCCACGCGACCACGGGGAGAGATAGAGAGAGAGACACGATAACTCCAAATATACAGCAGCAGGTGTAGTCAGTCACGGTGGTGGTGGGGTAAAGTGTGGAGTGCTCGCTCACACCTCTGCCGAGATGTCTTTCCAGCGGCCCCCGGAAGAAAGTTGCCAAAAAATACTTTCCCGGAGGGACTTTCTGGCACTGCCTCCGAGCCGAGGAACACTTCTTCTCGCCGAGGAACACATCCGCCAGCAGTCGCGCGAGCAAAGCAATTGCCGGGCGCTGCGCCTTTAGCTTTATCTGTGCTGGTTCACGAATCTTCTTACGTACGGCCGCTGAGACAACGACTGCAGTTTCACATGCAAGTGGGTCAAGCCCAGATGACCGCATCGGGAGCAGCGGAGTGGTGCATCATCGCTGTGATGTCTCCTTCATATTTGTGGATCGGGCCATTGCGTCGATGTATGTTGTACTATACGGTCTGTTCTGGATGACCCACAGTTTTTAATTTTCCCATTTGTGCATCATCATCTGATAGTGCCATGCTTTGTGCGGTGGATGCGGTTTCGAGTGGACCATGAGCTCCGGGGAAGATCAAACCCCAGGGATGGTTCACGTTAAGGTGGTGTTTGCCTGTGAGCTTCCTTTGAATTCCATTCAGCTCTCCAAACCTAATCGGGGGTTGAATTTGCGCCGTTCAAGGTTATAAGCGCAAGGGGGCCAAAAGGGCCTCGGGCGACTACAAGCGATGACGAGGGACGGGATTGAGGTCCTGATGAACGAGACGGGGGGCACGGAGAGACGCGGCGGTCCGAGTGCGCTGGGGTGTGGTGGGGGGGGCTCGGACATCGGCACCGGTCCGAGAGGTCGCGCCTCCGAGGGGTCACGCCGTCGCCCAACGTGACCCCTCTGGAGCGAGAGGGTCACTGGAACTCCCGGGGGGGTTCAAAACGTCGCTACTGGACGTCTTGTGATGAGGCGCTTTGTAGCTCTTCGGATTCCTCCAGTAAAAATAAAGTTTGATTCTGATTCTGTCGCTGTCGCAAGGACCTCGAAGAGCCTAGGGCGGTCGCGAAGACGGCACGACGCAATCCCGTCGGTCGGGCCCTTGGTTGTCTGCGATGTGGCGTGCGGTGGAATGCGCTTTGGACTTGTGCGTTTTAATCAATGATCACGGAGTGTTCCGTCATTACACACACAAAGTGCTCGCCACAAATGAACCGTAACACCTCGCTGATATCGTAAAGGAGCTATAAAGCGCCACCACGTGAACTCCGCTCATTCTCACAGCAGCAGCAGCAGCGACTTTTGGCTCGGCCACCGAACAAAAGCGGTGATCACCGCATCATCGCACGGCGCTTTCAGACGCGCTTCTGCGGACGTCTTGAACGATCTTCCGTTATTAGGAAGCCACTGGAGCTATGCACTTTTAAATCATCATCTAGATTGACACGTACGGTGCGAAGGAAGTTCAACGTACTTAAGAAAAAATGTGTTGCCGCATGGCTTACGCGTTTCCGATCGCCGACGATTGCCGGCGCTTCCAGTGGTGGCTTTTCAAAGCATCCAAATGTTGAAACGCAGAGCTTGGGCAATGGTCAGCGCCGCGTGTCCGGCCGCCTTCCCCGATCGGCTGTGGTTCTCCCACGCCTCTGGATCATCCTCTCTCGCTCCCGAGTGCGAACGGGGGAAAAAAATTGTAACATCGCTAAAACATCCGCACGCAAACTCGTGGGGACGAATAAAAGGGATGACGGTTTGTGTTGTTGTTGTTGTTGCTGCCTGGAACGCGTCGCTGAGCCTGTGAGAGTAACTATGGCCGACTTTGAATTCTGGGGAGGTGTGGGGTGAGTGGGGGGGTGGGGGGCTCTGTTTAAATGAATCTGCCGCATGCTTGAATGCCCCCCCCCCAAGTGCGCCCTTGTAAAACAGATCTCTTAATCGAGTCCATAAAATGCGCGGCTACGGTTTAACGAGCGGGCGCAGTGCGGCACAAAAGCGCCCCGTTTGGAAGGCACTTTGGCGGGAAAATTCGCGACCACGTGACGATCCACCGCGTGGCGAGCCGCCGCGTGACGAGGCACCACGTGACGAGCCACCACGTGACGAGCGACCACGTGACGAGGCACCACGTGACGAGCGACCACGTGACGAGGCACCACGTGACGAGCGACCGCGTGACGAGTCACCACGTGACGAGCCACCACGTGACGTGCCACCACGTCACGAGCCACCACGTGACGAGGC